ATGGCTTTGAGCATGGTGATGTACATCTGTAATCCCAGCATCTGGGAGGCTAAACAGAAGGAAGATCACAACTCTGAACCTAGATCAGGCACTTTCATGACACCATCTCAAAAGAGAGGGAGGAAGAATCTGAAGATTATATCTCAGTGTTAAGACTCAAATCTATATAAGATCTGGAGTCAGACTTCTTGAGGCTGAATTCTAGCTATGCCTCATATAGCTATGTTTCGTTTGTTTTACTGTGATGAAACCCAAGGTTTACACTGAGCTACATCCCCAGCCTTTGTTATTTTTTACTTAGAAATAGGATCTCACAAGTCTTCCAGGCAGGGCTTGAACTTGTGCTTCTCCTGCTTCTAGCCTCTCAGAATGCTGGGGTTAAACAGGTATGCCCCACCACATCCAGCTGTAGCTGTGTTGTTTTTTTAAAAATATTTATTTATTTATTGTGTGTGTGTGTGTGGCCAGCTCAGCCCACCAGGGGGCGGGGCTGGCTGGCATATGGTGCTGGGGGATTGAACCGCGGTCCCTGTGTTTTGTTTTGCTTAGCTTAGCTTGTTCTAAGTAGGTGCTTTAAACCACTGAGCCATCTCACCAGCCCCCTGTAGCTGTGTTTTTTGTTTTCATTTTTAAAACAGAATCTCACTATGTAGTCCAGGTTGGACTTGAACTCACAACGTAGCCCAGGCTGGCCTGAAATTCAAGATAGGCTCCAATTTATGATCCTCCCTGCCTCAGCCTGCTGAACACTGGGATTACAAGCAAGCTTCACTACACCCAACTATAGCTGTGACCTTGAAAAATTTACCTCACCTCCTCGTGCTTTAGTTTCCATTTCTCTAAAATAGGGACCTAAAAGCATATCCTTAAAGGATCATCTGAGGTACTGATATAAAGACTGCCATAGAGGGCCAGCCTGATAGCTCAGCAGACTAAAGTGCCTGCTTAGGCAGACACAGGACCAGGCTTTGATCCCTGGCATGCTGTGCTGTGCTGGCCCCACCCTGGGAGCACACTGAGATGGGGACTGAGACTGGGCATAGTGGCGCGCCTGTAATCCCAGTGCTTGAGAGGCTGAAAACAG